AAATATCCTCGCCGAACCTCGGTGGGCCACTCTCGTGATCCAGAAGGTTCCCCTGCCACTGACGCCACACGGCTGAGCTGTGGCGTGAAACTGTTCGCAGTGCCACCCAAAGTCGACTCTGTTGATATGTGTCATAGGACTCACTGGCCACTATTTTGCTTTATGACAGGGCAGAGCTCCGTTTGAACAGGTGCCATCCATAAGATTGCGATGTGGCGAGGGGCGAATCTCGCCGGTGAAAACCTCAGCTACAGACATCGCATCCATAGTGCCACCATGGAGCCCAGAAAGCTGAACGGCACCTCCATTGTCAATGGCGGCGATGCTCGTCAGTATTTATGTACTCACTGTCCGCACATGTCTTCGTCTGCCAGATCACCACTCCAGAACTTGCCCTGCAATGCGCCAAAACAGCTTCCACCCGTACTCCCCGACCGTCACCCAGAATACCGAGCAACCCTCTCGGGCACGAGATGTCGTCCAAATGACCATGCCGGACAACTCGACTACGGAGACAAGGCCGCTGAATGCCGATGTGGCCATACAACGGGCTGAGCATGACGCACAGTAAGGTTACTGACATGCTTCCTTAGTATTCTCGCTGATTATCTCTCAAGCATTCGTCTCCCAGCGTTGGACTTACAATCTCAGATGCAAAATTCGCCATACAGTCTCGTAAGCCATGCCACTGTTCACACGACTCACACCTCGTATCCTGGCGTAAACACACACATGCCCCCAAACAACATGTACCACCCTTCCGGTCACCTAACGACACCATACCATCAGTCTGGCACACCAACATCATCTCGACACTATCGGTCTGCTCCCGACATCTATTGGCCACCTGATTTGGCCGCAAGGTCCGCCCAAGATGCACCTCTCCAGCCCGTCATTCCGGCCCCCACTCTCCCAAGAGTGGTCGTCTCGTCTGTGTCGGCACCCATTGCCTCCTCTTCCTTCGCGACTGCGTCTTCCAACTCCTTACCGTCCGATACTGCGCGGCCTCCTCTGAGACGTACTCGAAGCAGTCACAGCGCTCGAGGCTCAGGCCCCTCCAGCCAATCCGCTCCTTCCCGCGGCGCCAGAGAGCGCGTATCCTGCCCTCTGTGCAGGTCTACCTTCGGCCGTCAACAAGAACTCGACCGCCACATGCGCTCAACACACAACTCGGACGGTGCGCTCTGGGTATGCTGCGGGGTCCCGTTAGACCAAGCACGAAGCACGTATAGGCTGTCAGAGGATACAATTGCGACGGCGGAGCGGAGGTGGTATGCGGGGATAGCTATGGTGGGCGGCTGCTGGGAGCCGACTGCGAGGTTCAATCGCAGGGACAGCTATCAGCGGCATATGACACAGTTTGGGTGCATCGGAGACGAGTATGGAGAGTGGCACCCGGGTAACCGTTGAAGGGTCAGGGAGACGAATGCAGGCATCGACATCATCAGAGCAACCAGAAACGTCGCCGAGACTTTCCTCATAATATGAGACAGTATCTCGAATGGGAAGGCGGTGGCACATGGTTTTGCCAGATTCTGGGCGACTGGGACGGCGGTCCATCGCAGGTAGAGAGAACGACTCGTTGTGTGGTTGCTATATCTCAGTTGGGAGGAGTAATACCAAGAGACCATAGCCCGTAATTTCAAGTTGTAAGTTGTGAACTTCTTGGTACAACGTGCCATTACCCACGCCACAAGGGCGTCCACACGTAATACCAGTTGACACATCACGCGGAGTTGAAGCCGTAAGCTCTCTGACTACTACTACATACCTAGTAACTTGAACTTTGATGATAGCGAGTTCAAGCTTGTGCAGGCGGGATCTCGGCCGTAAACTCTGTGACTACTACAGTCTCAAGGGTGCAAACTAAACTCAGGATACTTGCTACCGGCCATGAACAGCCCGCATTCTTCCGCGCTAGACACCGCTATTTCAAAGGCGGATCGCAGCCCTCAAAACAAATCTTAGCCTCCATCTTGTCTCTCACCACACATATCTCTACTCCCATATATTACACCTCTATACTGAGTTGCTGCTCACTCAAATGGCACATCTTGCACCCTCCGGTAAATGGGACGCTAGGCAAGTGTTTTACTTCAACTCCAAGCCTCTTCGGCAGTGACAATCAACTCACACCGAGACCTCCAGGTACCGAGAGCCTGTCCCACATGACAGCTGGTACTACACCGTCTGCACGCTTGGCGGCGGACTTGCGTGTGGTACCACCCATGCGGGCATGACACCCATCGACGTGACAAAGTGCAACATGCAGGTGCGTAGTATCGGATTATCGAAATCCCTGACACTGCCTCACTCGTCTCTCTGATCGACCGAATAGGTCAGCCCTGCCAAGTACAAGGGTCTCGTCGGTGGATTGAGAACAATCGTCGCTGAGGAGGGTGCGAAAGGTCTCTGGAAGGGCGTCGGGCCGACGTTCTGTGGCTATACGCTCCAGGGCATGTTCAAGTACGGCCTCTACGAGGTCCTCAAGGATCACTACATGAACCTCGCAGGTGAGGAGGCATCCAACGAGTACAAGGGCGCGATTTGGCTCGGAGCTTCTGCGTCTGCCGAGGTCGTTGCGGATATTGCGCTTTGCCCGCTCGAGATGACCAAGGTCAAGATACAGACGAGCCCTGCTGGCACGTTCCCCGTCCCGATACTGGCTGCCCTCGGCGAGATGAACAAGCTCAAGGCCGACACGCGCTATCCTTTCGGCTCCCTCGTACCTCTCTGGTCGCGTCAGGTACGTGTTCTCTTCGGTCTCGCCGTGTGGGACCGCCTAACGCCGCATCCGCCGACGACAGATTCCGTACACGATGGCGAAATTCTTCTTGTACGAATACACCGTCAGCCTCTTCTACCGGCACGTCTTCACGCGCCCGAAGGAATCATACGGCGCTCCGACGCAGCTCGGAATCACATTCGCCTCCGGATATCTCGCGGGCATCGTCTGCGCCGTCGTCTCGCATCCCGCGGATTCGATCGTGTCGCTCATGGGCAAGCCTGGGAATAAGGGCAAGCCGCTCGGCCAGATTGCGTCGGAGACCGGCATCGTTGCGCTCGCGACGAAGGGCCTCGGGACGCGTGTGCTGATGATTGGTACTCTTACTGGGATCCAGTGGTGGATCTACGACACGTTCAAGACGTCGATGGGAATGGGTACTACTGGCGGCAAGTAGAATTGTCACGTATCCTAGCGCCGTCAATGCAGTGCCCGATGTCCAATTCAAACACTCACTTCGAAGTTTCGAGTCACCGATACAAGCGTCAGTGAAGTAACACCGAACGCCGGAACCAATTTGTTACACGAACCGGTGGCCTCAATCGGTTTATGCGGATCGTCAAGCGTCATGGATCGCAGCTTCAAGCTCCGGCGAAAAGATGAGTGTACTTCGATTCTTCCTCAGGTTCAAAATACAGAATGATACATACTTGAAAGCAGCGCGTAAGGCGGCCCGGTCGAAGTTCCGAGGTCCGCAGGACGTCTCGTGTCCTATACTTCCTAGCCAAATCCCACATACACCGTCTTGTCCTCGACATCAGAACCGACCGACTCGACTGGGAGATCGGTTTCATATCCGTTCATGACCCGCACTGATACAGTCGCAACAACAGGTAGTAACTACGAGTCCTTCTGCTAAAGCAATGAATGAGAAGACTGCAGCACATTGCACTACCCACTGTATCTTGAATTTTGAAATACACAAATAATCCTTCCACGTTTTCAATCGGTGTGTTCACTTTGCAAGACTTTCATACCCGTGCAATCACTTCGCCGTGCATAATGCTGATCCACGCATCCTCATCCGCCCCCCATTGACGCCAGATAGCTGCGACCCTCTCCAAACCCTCCTGCGTGTAAATACCGTTTTTGATCGCGGTGGATGCGAAATTGGACGACAACGTGCGCTCGGCCCAGATCTCGCTCCACCACGTCCTCTCCTCCGGAGTGGAGTACAGCCAGGTGCTGGTGGACAACGTCAGGCTCTCAGCAGGGAATCCCGCCTTCTTAGCCCAGACGTGCAGACGTCGTCCTGCGTCGGGCTCGCCGCCGTTGGCGCGGGCGACTTTGAGGTATCCGTCACGCCACCCCTCCATGCCCTCGATCTCTGGCCACCACGCCCAGCTCGAGATGTCCGTCTCGCGAGTAGCGACGATCCCGCCGGGCTTGGTGACTCGGCGCATCTCGCGGAGGACCTGAGTCGGATCGCCGACGTGTTGGAGGACTTGGTGGGCATAAACGACGTCGAAGGAGGCGTCGGGGAAAGGGAGGGAGAGAGCATCCCCGGAGGTGAAGGTGACGTTTGTGACGCTACGCTCGGAGGCGTATTTCTGTGCGCTCTCGAGGACGGTTGGGACGTCGACGCCTGTCACATGGCCCTCGGGGATGTGGTTGGCGGCGAGATCGACGGTGATTGTCCCGGGGCCACAGCCAACGTCGAGCACGCTCGTGTTAGGTTTGAGGTAGGGAAGGAGGAACGCGGCAGAATTCTTCGCGGTGCGCCAGGAGTGAGATCTGAGCACCGACGCGTGATGACCATGAGTGTAAACGGCCGATTGTGACATTTCTACTTCTACTGGTGCTGTACCTACGAGTTAGTAACCATTATAGAGTCCAGAGGAGTGTGTTCGAACGTACCGTGGACTCGTGTAAGGCCAAGTGAAATATATGGCGGATGTTTCAAGGCAGAGTGGTGTGAGCACGAGTTCACAGGATAGATCTTATGTGGGGCCCATCCCTTATATACAACGCCGTCTTCAAGAAGATGATTCTGGCCGCAGGGTAAGGTTCATTCGGGCTTCGGCCGATGAGTCACAATTCATATTCGGCGCTTGCGACACCACGGCCCTGCTACGCGTCGCATTTTGCCTAATACCATCCGTACGACGACATGCAAGTATCGGGAATCGATATCCAGAGAGTATAGTATGTTGAGTGCAACCTGAAACTTGTCCAGGCTTAGACAGAATCACAACATAATGGGTACTCACAAGCATCTCTGTTAGTATATCGGTTAGTACACGCGCCTGTCATGCTTGGCGTTCGCGCGAAAGCGGGGTTCGACTCCCCGACAGAGAGAACTCATTCTTTTTGAGGACTGTTGTAACTCTTCGTTTGCCACACTAATTGGAGGCTTGCCCGAAGTACCATCTTCAATCTTCAATCTTCAATCTTCAACTTCCTCCCATGGCTTCAAGGCTAGGACTGCTCCCGACCCGAAGTATCTCGCAGGGGCTCTATCCATCTCGCATTCTCGTATCTCGTCGTGCGGCATCCACAGCGAGACCTCAGCCAGCATCACGTTCCTCGGCGACAACAGTGGCTTACGCTTCGATATTCATCGTCTCCACAGGTCTCTTCGCGACATACTACTTCGACTGTCGTGCAGCACTACACAAATATGTCGTGACTCCTGTCATCCGACACACACTTGATCCTGAGACAGGACACAAGCTTGCTGTGCGCGTTCTGAGCTCAGGGCTTGCTCCTCGCGACCCCTTGTCGGACGATGAAGTGCTGAAGGTCGAGGTATGTGAGTGCTATACGTTGCTTGCGCAGAACACCCGAGGAACACGCGTCGTAGCTCTGGGGCGAGGAGATGTCGAGTCCGGTGGGACTGGCTGCTGGGTTTGACAAACACGGAGAGGCAATTGACGGTGAGTTCATAATACTTTGATTCTTTCACAATGTTCTTATGCCTTCCAGGCCTGTTCAATCTCGGTTTCAGCTGGGTGGAGATAGGGAGCGTTACCCCAAAACCTCAAGTGAGTGACCTGCTCATGTCAACAATACGTCCGTTGCGATCCTGAGACGGTTCCTATGGTTTGTCTAGCCTGGCAATCCCAAACCCCGCGTGTTTCATTTGCCAAACGACTCTGCCCTTATCAATCGGTATGGCTTCCCTTCTGAAGGTCATACCGCTGTCCTGTCGCGTCTCCGAGCGCGTCTTCCAACGCTTTCCTCCTACTCTTTAACGCCTGAAGCTGAGTCTCCATTACACGGCGCCGAGCACGCGTCGCTCCGCCCGAACGCACTGCTTGCAGTCAATCTTGGCAAGAACAAGTCCTCTCCGCCCGACTCCATCGCGGACTTTGTGACAGGCGTTCATACGTTCGGCCCCTACGCGGACGTGCTGGTGGTCAACGTTTCAAGTCCGAATACGCCGGGGCTCAGGTAAGCTGTTGTTTGCATTATGAAGTAATGCGCCAGTTCCACGAACCTGCCGTGTAGGGGTATGCAAAGCCGAACACTGCTCGAAGAGCTTCTCGCGGGCGTGACTGCGGCGCGCGACGGGGTGACCGCGTCCTCCACGCACTCTCATAGGCCAAAACTGTTGCTCAAGATCGCGCCAGACCTATCCGAGTCGGAGGTCGCTGACGTCGCGGCTGCCGTCCGCGCGAACGGACATGTTGACGGCGTCATTGTGAGCAACACGACAATCCAGCGCCCCGCTAGCTTGTCAGATCGTACGTCAGTGTGGCTATCACTCTGAGCCACCTTTCTCATGGTGCATACAGCGAACAAGTTTGAGCAGGGCGGGCTGTCGGGCCCTCCTCTGAAGGAGCACACGCTGAAGACACTGAAGACGCTTCGCTCTCTCCTCCCAGCCTCCATCCCGCTCATCGGGTGCGGTGGTATCTCCTCTGGCGCCGACGCGCTCGAGTTCGCCCGTGCAGGCGCAGCAGCTGTCCAGCTCTACACCGCGTTCGGCTACGGCGGTCCCGGGACGTGCAGGGAGATCAAGGACGAGCTCGCCGCCCTCCTGCGCAAGGAAGGCAAGACGTGGCAGGAGGTCGTACGTGAGGCTGTCGAGAAGACCAGCCTGCGCGAGGACCAGGTGCAGACGGTTGGGCAAGAACTGGTCGGCAGCTTGAAGGATGCGAGCATACAGCTGCTGGTTCAGGAGGCGCAGGAGCTGAAGCGGCTGTTGGACGGGCTGGGAGAGCGCATCGAGAAGCGGAGGGAGGAGGGAGTAACGCTAGGTGGTGATGCCGAAGTGGTTGCTATCACCCCACCTCCAACGGTGTTGTGAATGAAGATTGTCGACCGCAGATCCGACGTCTCATCCCTCTGCTGTGAACATGTACCTCACCTGACGCCGCCCGCTGGGTGCGGTTCACCTAGAGATATAGTTCAGATCAACTGGTGGGGCGAGTCTCATGTTTGACTTACCGCCGCAAACTGGTCACCCATATACTGCGGTACCGCAAGGCGCAGCCGTTTGGAGCACATGTCACACACTGGACAAGGTTCCGCTTGTGCACCCGTGTACTAGGCGAACGCACTCCACTTTACGGCATGTATGCCTCTAGTAGTTCTACCACACCACTCAATGACTATCCGGGCCAAGCGATGAAAATCCAATTGGTCGGAGCGGTGGGTACGTGTCGTGCCACCTATATAGAATTCGCACAGGACTAAAGGGTCGCCATATTACCCCCACATCTGCACGCATGCTCGAGTCATGACTGATTCAAGCGATACGAGTACTATTGCAAGTATATATGCCACTGATTACGTGATTCTAGCGAGCTTCTGTACGTCCCGTCCGTCCATGCGTCCGCACAGGGATTAACGCATGTGCGGCCGTACGTCTCTTCTAGGCCTGTTGTACTACGACTACATCCTCACGCTCCCGAACGAGATCCAGGTCATCTGGCGCGCACCACTGAACCTCGCTAACGTGCTCTGTCTCTGCATCCGATACAACTTCCTGGTGCAGATCACTCTCACCTTCTTTCATAACTTCCACTTCACCAAAGGCGCGGGTCCCGACCTGTCTACCCAAACATGCCGAACGGTCATTGACTTCCTTGCGGTATTCAATGTGGTTAACTTCTCCTTCGTGTCAGGTAAGCAACATTGCCCTCTCTTGATACGTAGTGATCATGTTAACTTTGCGTGCACTGTAGCCTTCGTAGCGATGCGGATGTTCGCTATCTATGGGCGTAACTGGCGCCTTGGTATTCTCGTGTTCGTCCTTGGATGTCTTAGTCCATGCTCAATCCCTCTGGTATGCACACACACTTGTAATCATGTCTCATAGGTGAACCAGAGCCGACTCATGTCTCGCAGACAATGAGTTGGGAATTTGAGACTGCACGAACACCGTGGCCGCTTCCTCCCTGTCTCATGATCATTGAAGACGGCGCCATGAACACGCTCGCGTACGTCACGACGATCTTCCTTTGCGATTTTGACTAACATGGGCTGGGGTCTCATCACCTTATAGAATGCGCTATTGTAAGTTGCATGCATGACCATTGACAGGCATTCTACACGAGTTTCAATGTGCTCATTTGGCAGTGCCGATCGCTTTCTCGGCAATCAACATTGTGTACGAGTCGTTGTGTCTGTGCTTGACCGCAGGGAAGACGTTGAGTTTGTACAAGGAGCAGCGGGCACTGGGTGTACCCACGACGCTGACGGCATTGCTGCTTCGTGACGGTGCGTCCGTCCGCCCACGTTCAGCACTCCACGCCGAGTATATGACATCTCGTTCATCTGATTTCCATCAACAACAGGTAGCTTATATTTTGGGTGAGTTTATTTCCTTCTGACGCAGCGGTACCGACTCAATGTGTGACACGACCGTTCGTCAGAACTCTCTTCGTGCTCTCGATTAGCAACATACTCTCTGCAACAGTAAGCCGCATCCGAATCCTGTCCTTGCTATGACGTTCACGGTACGACGCGGTGATTCATGATCTGCAGACCTTTGAATGGGTACATCACTCCCACGAATAATGGATGGCAGTGCAACCGCTGACGGGTTTGTACTAGATTTTGAACGGATGGCAGATGAACACCGACATCGCTCGAGCGTGAGTTTTCACAGCTGCCATTGTGTCTGCCTGCCTATACTTATGTTTATGTACCCATGTCTGTCCACAGCCTCGTACCTATCTTAACGACACGCTTCATCGTACACCTACGCCAGGCGACTCGCGGGGACGCCGCACATGCATGCCTCCCTTCCACACGTGGAACGCAGACTCTTGCGTTCGCCAGGGGCCGGCTTCTCGACTCTGTTAGCGGGAATATGGAGTTCAATGATTAACGGCCCTGCGAAGACCGTAGATGGGACGAGGGAGCTTGGGAACAGAGCGGAGATAGGGTGTGCTGAGATTCACGAGTGCGTTGGCATCGGCACCTGGGACAACTTTGTAGAAGACCAGGTATATTGTGGCGAACGAGATTACAGTGTAGATTTGATCATTCGAGAGTGGACTATTGGAAAATCCATCATGCCGATCTCACGAGACCTGTACAATATAAAGTCCCACAGTGGGATTTAAGAGCACTGCCTGGCTGACTGTCTACGACGAGCTTAATCAAAGCCCCTTCACCCATTCTTCGAGTTCTGCATTCACTCGTTCGGTCGCCTCGAGCATGATCCAGTGGCCAGTGTCGAGCTCGACGATCTTCGCATGCGGGACGGACTTGGCCATCCCAGCCTTGTAAACCGTCGCGTCGCACACTCCGTCCCGAGTTCCCGTGACGAACAGCGCCGGACAGTCGAACTTCCGGGCTACCTTGACGATCTCTGCATGTAATCCAGCATGGCATGTCAACGATGAAGGTCATGAGACGGGAGAGCATCGCCTCACAGCAAAGCAGACATGTACCTTCGCTCTCGGGGGCACTGTAGTCGCCGACGACCACGCGGTAGTAGCAAAGTGGGGCCCGTAAGCCACCGCTGCTGAGCTGCGCTTTCGCGCTGTTGTACTCCTGAAAGTAAGATGGGATCAGTGCATGGGGCTAGGTGGAATGGACGACACCCAACCTCTTCCGTAAGCCACTGGGGACGAGGGGACGTGCGCTTCTCCTTGAGCCATTGAGCCAACTTTCCCGAGGGCGAAAGCCACTCATATAAGAGGTCGGGTGATTCGGGGTATAGAAGTGAGAGGAAACTGTCCAACTAGTAGGCAATAGAATTGCATCAGTGCCAATGCCGTTTATGGGAGCACATCGTAAAGTGCGAGCACAGCAACTCACATTCTCTTCGCACAGTTTGTACCCGTCCTCCTGAGTGAAGAGCTCCCAATAACCAACCATGTCGCGGCCAGTGATGGAAC